GGGGCACTGGTGGGGTGGGTCAGGGCTAGCTGCGGGTCGGGAGTGAGGGGCACCGGCAGAGCTGGGGCGGGGCAGGGCTGGGCTAGCAGGGGCTGCGGGTCAGGAGTGAGGGGCACCGGCAGAGCTGGGGGCACAGGGCCGGGCTAGCAGGGGCTGTGGGTCAGGAGTGAGGGGCACCGGCAGAGCTGGGGGCACAGGGCTGGGCTAGCAGGGGCTGTGGGTCAGGAGTGAGGGGCACTGGTCGAGCTGCCTCCAGCCCCCCTTGTTCACACCCCACAGGCAGCGCTGGGACCCCTGTCATGTTCAACGAGAATGGAGATGCCCCCGGGCGCTACGACATCTTCCAGTACCAGCTCACCAACACCACGGTGCCCGGGTACAAAGCCATCGGGCAATGGACCGAATACCTGCGCCTGAACGTGAGTGCGAGGGGGCGCCGTGTGTGTTCCCCAGCCACCCTGCCCCAGAGGTGGCTGCATCCAGCGGCGGCTCCAAGCACCAGCACTCCAAGCTCGTGCCTGGGGCGGCAAGCCGCGAGGGCGGCAGTCAGGCAGCCTTCAGCGGCATGCCTGCAGGAGGTCCACCGGTCCCGCGAATTTGGCAGCAATTCGGTGGTGGGTACGCCGCATCCACGGGACCGGGGACCTCCCGCAGGCAAGGTGCCGAAGGCAGCCTGCCTGCCGTGCTTGGGGCGGCAAAAAAGCTAGAGCCGCCCCTGGCTGCATCTCAGCCCTGGGCAAGCCGTCCCTCTGTGGCGTTATGTGTGGCTATTCCTCTGCAGCCCTGCCCCAGAGCTGGCTGCATCTCAGCAGCAGGGGAGTCATCCCAGTGCAATGTTATGTGCGGCTGTTCCCCAGCTGACCCGCCCCAGAACTGGCTGCATCTGGGCGCTGGGCAAGCCGTCCCTATGCAGCGTTATGTGCGGCTATTCCCCAACTGCCCTGCCACAGAGGTGGCGGCATTTCAGTCCTGGGCATAGCATGCCTATGCGGCGTTATGTGCAGCTGTTCCCCAGCGTCCCCCCACCTCCCAGGAGGTGGCTGCATCTCAGCCCTGGGCAAGACGTCCCTCTGTGGCGTTA